ATATAATTCATATAACATAGAATTCACCCATTTAGAGTGCACAATTCAGTGTTTTTTAGTATATTCACAGAGTTGTGCAGCCATCACCACAATCAATATTAGAACATTTAATCAGCCCAATAAGACAACCAGAGCAATTGACAGTTGCTCCTCATTTCCCCCCAACCTCCCACCCCAGGCCAAGGCAATCACTAATCTATGTTCTATCTCTACGGATTTTCCTATTCTTGACATTCCTCCTGTAGTCCCTTCATAGTCAATCACAGTAGGTAGCATTTTGAATATGGCTACTTTCATTTAGCACAATGTAAATAAGATTCATGGGTGGCGTTCTGAGTATCAGTAGTTCATTCCTTTTTATTGCCTGACAAATAGTATTCCATCGTACGGATACATCCCCGTTAGTTATTCATTCATCTGTTGACGGATATTTATTCCCAGTTTTGGTGATTATGAATACAGTCGCTATAGACATTCTTGTACAGGTTTTGATGTGAACATAAGTTTTAATTTCTCTTAAGTAAATACCTAGAGGTGGGATCACTAGGTCATAAGATGTTATATTTAACTTCATAAGAAATTGTCAAACTGTTTTCCAAAATGGTTTTACCACATTACATTCTCACCAGCAGTGTATGAGACATCCCCTTGTTTCCAAATCTTTTGCTCATTTTTTATTGTTTTGTTGTTGTTGTTGTTGTTGTTGTTATTCTTGTCAGTATTAAAGTTTGGTGGATACAAGTCCTTTTTCAAATATGTGATTTGCCAACATTCTCTCCCAGCCTGTGACTTTTCATTCTTTAAACTGTCTTTTGCAGAACAGAAGTAAATTTTGATGGAGCCCAAATTGTCCAATTCTTTTCCTTTTCCAGGTCATGTTTTCGGTGTCACATTTAAGAAATCTCTTCCTAACTCAAGATCAAAAAGATTTTCTCCTCTAGAAGTTTTATAACTTTATGCTTTACATTTAGGCCTNACATATATATATATATGTGAACTTGTAAATCTCTATTATTCTAGTAGATTTTTTTGGTGATTTTCCTATGCAAACAATATTGTCTGTGAATACAGACTTTTTTCTCCTTTCCCATTTGCATGCTTCTTTCCTCTCTTTCTCCCTCCACCTCCCTTCTTTGTTTCTTATCTTACTGGTTAGGATTTTTATTACAATGTTTAATAAGAATGGTGAGTGTAGACATCCTTCCTTTGTTTCTGATCTTAGGGGGAAAGGATTCAATATTTCATAAATAAAGTGTGATGTTAGCTGGAGGAATTTTGCATGTGTCCTTTATCAGGTGGAAAAACTTCTTTTTTTAGTCTGCTGACAGTTTTTGGTCATAAATGGATATTGAATTTTGTTAAATGATTTTAGTGGACCTTATTTGATGATCTGATGATTAGATTTTTTCATCTGTTGACATAGTAAATTATATTGATTTATTTTCAAATGATCAACCAGCCTTGTATTTCTAGAATAAACCCCACATAGTCATGTTGTATTATCATTCTTACTGGATATTACTTGCTAATATTTTGTTGAGCGACATTATATAATGATAAAAAAGGGCAATTTACCAGAAAACCATACTGATCCTAAATTTGATTGCATGTAAACGAGCTTCAAGATAGATGAAGCGAAGCCCTCTGTTCATGAGGTATATTGGCCTCTGTATTTCTTTTTTTGGAATGTCTTTGTATAGTTTTGATATCAGATAATGACAGCCTCATAAAATAAATTGAAATGTTTCTGTTTGTGCAGTAGCATTCTTTTTTAAATATTTGGTAGACATAGCTAGTGAAGCCATCTGAACTTGGAGTTTTCTTTTTTAGAAGGTTTTAACTATACATTTAATTTCTTTAATAAATATGGGTTATCTACTTCTTCCTTGAGTGAACTTTGATATTTTGTGTATTTAAAAAAAAAAATTATCCACTTCATCTTAATTGTCAAATTTGGGGATATGAAGTTGTTTATTA